GAACTAATTTCCAAGTAAGATTACTCTCATGGATACCAGGGATTGGGGCTTCAGCTAATCTTGGGGGGAGAGAGCAATTCAACTCACATCAGCCACCCATTATGAAATATCTACTGTAGCTAGAACTTCAAGGTCTGACATTGGATCAGTCTTGTCCCATTTCCTAGGTTTAGAGCTTTTTTTTGATATATTTCCAAAAAGGAAAAAGTTATATTTCAAGAATAACTGGTCTTTGAGACTTTAAAAGATGGGCACACAGAACATAAGATGCCAGATCTTATTTAAATTTACATTTAACAATTTGCAATTAAAATAAATATTCAAGTGGGAAGAACTGTACTGCCCAGAGAAGGATCATCACATCTTGCTGAATGAGTAATTTAGCCTTCTAATCAGTAATTTAGCCAATTGTGTGCTTTAGGCACCTCTCCTGAAAATGAGTTTCTGAGAAAATGCAGCAAGGAACACTGACTAGACCCTAATTTATTGACCAGGATTATTTATTCGGTTAAATAAAACAGAAAACAAGACAGCAAAACCCTATAAACATTCAAATTTGTTTTTTTTCCTACATATTGCAAAACACAATTGACAAAATATTTCAGTCATGTCACACAGACACAATCTTAGCAAATCAAGGCTAAAGTTTGTGCCAGAAATTTATTTAATTAATTAATTAATTAATTTTATTAGTGAAACACCATGCAGTACAGTTGTAGACTTACAAACTTTCGTGCTTGTGTTTCAGTTATACAATGATTGAGTACCCATCCCTCCACCAGTGCCCATTCTCCACCACCAATGATCCCAGTAGCCCTCCCACCCCATCCCCCCACCCCACTCCTCCTCTGTGGCAGGACATTCCCCTTTCTTCTCTCTCTCCTTTTGTGTGCTGTGCTTTGCAAAAGAAGCATTGAGTGGCAATCATGTTCGGTCTATAGTCTACTTTTAGCATGCTTCTCCCATCCTGGGAGGATCCTCCCAACACCCTTTATTTGGTGCTCCCTTCTCTATCTGAGCTGCCTTTTCCCCTAGCATGTGTGACTGGCCTCCAAGCCATTGGAGTGAACCTCCTGGTACTTATCTCGGCTATTCTTGGGTGTTAGTCTCCTATTTTGTTACTTTAGGTTCTTCAGATGAATGCAATCTTTCTATGACTGTTCCTCTCTTTCTGACTTATTTTGCTTAGCATGATACTTTGCATGTAGTACCACTTGTATGTAAATTTCATGACTTCATCTTCTCTAACAGCTACATAGTACTTCATTGTGTAGATGTACCAAAGTTTCTTTAACCAGTCATCTGTTCTCGGGCACTCAGGTTTTTTCCAGATTCTGGCTATTGTAAACAGTTCTGCAATGAATAAACAAGTGCAGATGTCATTTCGACTATACTTTTTTGCCTCTCTGGGATATATTCCCAGGAGTGGTATTGCTGGGTCAAATGGGAGCTCAGTTGCAAAACTCTCCATGACATTGAAGCTAATGGTATCTTCAAAGATGTCACGCCACTGGCCGAGCAAGTGAAAACAGAGATAGACAAATGGGACTCTCTTAAACTAAGAAGCTTCTGCACCTCAAAAGAAACAGTGACCAAAATACAAAGACAGTCTATAGAATGCGAAAGGATATTTGCCCAATACACATCTGACAAGGGATTGATATCAAGGATATACAAAGTACTGGTCAAACTTCACAAGAAGAAAACATCCAACCCCATCAAAAATGGGGAGACAAAATGAACAGAAACTTTCTCAAGGAAGAAATCCGAACGGTAAAAAAAGCACATGAGAAAATGCTCTACGTCATTAATCATCAGGGAGATGCAGATCAAAACAACAATGAGATATCATCTCACACCACAGAGACTGGCCCACATCCAAAAGAACGAAAGCAACCTGTGTTGGCGCCAACGTGGACCCTCCTCCACTGCTGGTGGGAATGCCGAATGGGTCAGCCCTTTTGGAAAACAGTAAGGACGATTCTTAAAAAATTAGAAATGTGCCAGAAATTTACACTTTAAATATTTGTTGACTCATGACTCATCACAAACATTTTGTTTTGATTTATACAGATCTAATATCCTATAAGTCATGCTTCAGACTTCCAAAATATTACCTTTTGAAGAAATAAAAATCATCCCTGAACAACATACGGTTAATGGAATTACTTTATTGAAGACAAAAGTTTTCAATAGTTTTTTCAAAAGTTTTCAAAAGTTTTCAACACACACACACACACACACACACACACACACACACACATCCCACACATTTTAAAGTTTACAGTGCCCCAACCAGAGGGAGAGAAATGCAGTCTAGTGGAACTAGATCTATCATAGCTGTTTTGTTTAATTTTAGTGACTAGAGTTCCATTCTCAAAGCAATGGTCCTGTGTTTTCAAACCTAAGGTACAGTCTTGAGATGAGTTGTTTTAAGCAACATTTTTATTTGCGCACTAATGTGTACTTACATAGGCATGGTTTCAATGTAAACAGAGCACAAAATTCATTACTTAGATTCACATAGGCCAACTTCATGGGCATGAGAACTGTATTGTCACACAAAGGACCTTGTGCAGGAAAGCTTGGCACTAGCCCTAATGCTCTACTCCTGTTGCTTTGAATTTCTTAATACGTTTTGAACAACAGGCCCTGAATTTACATTTTTGCATTGGGCTTAGCAAATTATATAACTTTAGAGGTGCTTAGACCAGAATCATCTGTAATCTCTGCTTTTACCTGATGTTGTAGAGTTGTGGGTAGTTCCACATCTTCTCCCAATATCAAGACAGCAGTAATTTTAGAAAATTTTCCAAGATATAAAAATTTGGGTCAAGTGATTTATTGGGAGCAAAGAAGAACACAAAAAAAATTTTGTTTACCTGCAAGCCCAGAGAGTTAAATTGTACGTTTTGTGAAAAATGAATCAAGCCCAGTGTGAGATTTAGGTATACATATACATATTAAACCAGCACAATAGATGAATTGTTCATTTAAATAGCAAATATGTATTTGTATGTACCACAAGCTAAACATAAAGATACTCTTCTGTAATTCTTCTATCAAGCTTATTATTTCAGCATATGAAAGGAAAAGTAAAATGCATGCAAAGGCTAACTTGGCTACTTTTTACAAAAAAATAAGAATAGTTAAAATGCCCTCTTTGTAATTAAAAACATTATTCTTTCTGCACTTCTTTAAAATGTGGGAGGGAATAGTTGGCCTATAAATGCCATAAAATGGCTATCTTCTATAAATACATAGAAAGAAACATTTCATTATAGGACATGCCTTTTTTTTAAACAGGAGAAGAGAGCATGATTTTATAAGGATAAATTATTAAAGAACATACTTTCTACAGACCTTTTGAACCAGGCAAAGGTTTAGGAGATGAAGAAGCAGTGTTATCAAATCCCTCACATGCCACACAGGGTCTTGTAACCCTAAGTATCACCTAAGTATTTAAAAAATATACTAATTCTGGCCTTGTCCAGAATGCAATACATTTATAACTGTATATAAGGTTCTGGTGAGAGTCATTTTTTAAATGTATCCTGGTGCTTCTTTATTTGCAGACATACTTAAGAACAACTGGGCTGCGTCTGGGAGATAGCTTAAAGGCTGTATCACATGCTTTGCAAGCTCTGCACTGAATGGTTCCCCAGCACTGCCTGAGCAATTCCCTAGCACTGAGCAAAGAGCAACCAGCATCCTTCCCCATTTCCTTCCAGCACTGCTGAGTATGGAAAGGAAAGAAAAAACAACCTTCTGGGCTATGGTATAGACAAAAAGAAAGTTTCAGGCTTCATTAAAATGATCTACTTAGAAAATTTAAAAATTTTGATATATATTACATTGGATTACATTTAAACAGGGGGGAGGGAGGGAGGGAGGACAAAAATGAAAGGAGGAAGGAAGGAAGGAAGGAAGGAAGGAAGGAAGGAAGGAAGGTCAGAGGGAGGGAAGGAGGGAGGGAGGGAGGATGGAGGGAGGAAGGAGGGAGGATGGAGGGAGGAAGGGAGGGAGGGAGGGAGGACGAAAATGGAAGGAGGAAGGAAGGAAGGAAGGAAGGAAGGAAGGAAGGAAGGAAGGAAGGAAGGAAGGAAGGAAAGAAGGGAGTTCCTATTTTCTGTGCTCAGAAGGCTATACTTATATTTGATAATTTACTCTGTGGGCAGAATAGAACTAAATAAACTCATCTCTTTTTTTTTTTAACTCATCACACAGGACCAGATCAAGAGAGAAGAGAAAGGGCACAAAGGTTCTAGGTTTCCATTTTGTGGTTGTGCCTTTCAGCCATATACCATTGGAGAGCCTAAGTAGAAAAGTCACTGAAAAGACTTAACTCAGTGTCACAGTTTTTAGCACATCACTAACACTGCAGACACTGGAGTGTTGTTGGGAAGCATTACTTAAGGAAAGAGAGTGACAATGATACACCCTTTCCCACCAAGACCTTGAACAACACACGGATGATCAAAATTAAGACCAAACCCAGATGAAAATAGATGCCATCAGTGACTCAAAAATTCCCAAATGTGCTCTGTAAGATTGCCAACATGAGGGGCACAAATGAGGACATGGTTAGTCTGCTTAGATGCAGAATATTCTCCAACATCATGGAGTCCAACAAAACAAGACCAACCCGTGAGACTGAAACAGAGCATACCAGTAGTTTCTTGCATTAAAGCACTGAACTAAGAAAAGCGCTAGACTTCTCCAGTGCCAGCTTTCAAACCTGGAACATTCGGGCACGCTTTATTTATTCACTCATCTTCTTTAGGGGCCACACCAGCAGAGCTCATTCCAGTGCAGGCTGGTGATGTTGGGGTGCCCCCTGCCCTGGCACCTGCTGGTGGTGGGGAGTGAACTCGGGGCTTGTGCAAGCTAGGTAGAAACGTGCTCTACTGCTTGAGCCATCTCCATGGCAACTTCCAATTACATTTGAAATCTAAGTTTGATGGCTGATGTGCGCTTCAGCACACTGACTTGTTTTTTAAATCGACAGTTCCAAATGTCAGGCTGAATGCTTCTCTCCTTGTTTGATGCCAAGAACCAGGTGGAGGAACCAGTTAAACTGCACAGTCCATCCTTTGTCTCGGCAAACTTCAATCTGATCAAGAAAATACCTTTTTGCATCTTCCTCATTTTTCCCCACAGTGAGGGCATCTCGGATATATTCGATGTCTTCTTTGCTTGTTAACTGAGGCATGCCTGTCATCAGCATCATGGAGAACAGGATGATCAACAAGTTCGTGTGATGACGGAGTGCTAGATAAGCCTTAACGCAGACATCCTGGGTAAAGGAGGAGAAACGGTTAATTCCTGCTGTGAAAGTACCTGAGCAAGCTGAACACCACTGGGCTATGTTAACAGTTACCAGCCAGTCCAGGAACCACAGCACAAAATAGGTGAGTCTCTGGCTTCAGATAAAATGCTTGATGAAAGCATACCTTATTTTTATCATCTCTAAAGGCTAATTGCAAGTATTCAGGGCTGTGCTCAGAGCAAACCAATAGACACAGGTAAGTTTCATTTTAATTTTTACTCTCCCTGGTTGTTTCCATTTCTTTCCTTGGAGATTTGCCATGAGGATTGAAATTAGTCAGCTGCATGCAAGGCAAGTGCCTTCCCTCCTATGCTATCTCTCTACCCCCTCAAAGCTCATTTTAACAGGTTGATGCCAGTGTTGCAATTTTTGTTAATTAAATCATATTCAAGGGTGAAAATTTCTGTAGTCTCTGAAGAACAGTGAGTCTGTTTCTGAACACCGTTCTGGAACCAATAAACCTTATGCAAACATAAATTATGTTTGCCAAGAGCTAACAGAATCCAGAAATGATGAAATGTGGTGCATGAGATTTACTTAGTGGTAGTCTTATTTTACAATTTGTCCTACTCTAAGGAAACAGATTAATTAGCAGTTCATTGTCTGATTCTCAAACTTGTTAAGCTGTGAAATTTTAATATAAATTCGGAATCTTTAGTGGGAGAGGGTTTTAAAAATGCAGTGTCTGAAGCTTCCCCTAAAAGTCTTCAAGGTGATACAGGTGAGTTAAGTCTGCTTATTAAGTGACATACATGTCTCATGCCAATTAAGTTGTTTCTAAGCATAAAAAAGGAAAAAGCCTCTTAATTGCACAGCATCAGAGTAACCCAAACTCAGTAGCATAACTGGACAAATGTAAAGGTGTTAAAGAAAATGGAATTTAATTAACAGAAATATAAATATTTCAAATGAAATATGGAGTACATTTTCAAAGGAATAATGTCATAGCCAAATAGGATTTATTTCAAACTTACAGGAGTAGTTCATCATAAAGTATTGTCTTGTTCACTTGGGATTTTTATAAAAATAACATGTGAACAATTCATAACTAAATTCAACAATGAAAAGGATTATCTGAAATTACCAGAGAAAAATCATTCTGAAAGATGCCTACCAAGGAAAGAAATGAAACATAATGCTAGAAAAGATCTATTAGAATTTACAGGTAGCTTTCCTTCTTGAAATACTGAAGGGAAAATTCCCAGTACTATAGTAACTGGACTTTTTTTATTCAAGTAAAACTAGCATTTTATAAAATTAATAGAATGTCACAGGAGCCTCCAGTTAGAAAGCATAATGAAAAATTAGATCTTAGAATAATGAGAAAAACACAAGATTCCTGGGAAAAACACATACAATGTTTGCAAAGCCCATTTTGTTATTTTTATTATTTAATTTTTTGATTTTGGGGCCACAGCTGACAGTGCTCAGGGGCTATTTCTGACTCTGTATTCAGAGTGATCCCAGGAAGTGATGAGGAGGGTTAGGAGGGGTGGATTATATGTGGTCATGGGGACTTCAATTGGAGTCAGCTAATTGCAAGGCAAGTACCTTTCCTCCGATGCTATCTCTCCACTCCCTCAAAGCCCATTTTAACACATTGATGCCAGTGTTGCAATTTCTGTTAATTAAATCATATTCAAGAGTGAGCCACCAGTGAGTTCACCCAGCATCAACTATACAATAGTTAAAATATACTGAGACCCATGAAAAACAAAGCACACAGAGAAACAAACCATGTTCCTTGGTGAGAAGATGTAAACTCATCTCTGATTAATAGCAAAGTCTATGTGTGTACAGTACAAAAAAATTACTGAATAGTCAGACATGGTTTTTAGTTCAAAAGAAGCTGAGAGGAAATTTTGAGGAAAAGTATAGTGATTAAAAAACTGCTTGCTATACTATGTATTAAAACATAAAATGTGAATGTTTAAGAACATTGTGTTAAAATACTATAACATTAATACCATGAAAGAGTATGTAGTTATTTTCAAAAAAGTAAGAAATTGCTTTGAATGGATGGAAAATTCAGATACATCTAAGTATATGTATGTAATAAAATTTCTCAAATTAATGGAGAAAGGTTTATTATTTGATAAATGAAGCTGGTACAACTCATTTGTCATTTGGAGGAAAATAAACTTTTACTTTATAATATACCAAAATCAATTCCAAATTACTTAAATCAAAATCAAATATTTAAGGATATTCAAAAATATATTTAAATATTCAAAGAGGTGATATTTAAATACTCTTGGAATGAAAAGGACTTAATGATGAATAACTGCCAGTGTAGAGTCAGCAAGGAAATGATGGAGAAATTATAGAACCCACAAGTACTAAGAAAAAATGTTACAATCTTAAAAGGTAAAAATACAAGAGAAAACATCTGCAACATAACAGGTCACTCTGTTTATAAATCAATGAGAAAGAGTTGGTTAACTAGAACCTATAACCCATGGATATGCATGAGAATTCTGACCCTAACACATAACAACAGGTAATAAATAAATAGTTTTTTAAAATATGCTACTTCAGAGTAATCAAATGTCACTTGAGATTAAAAAAAACTTTTTGTTATGTTGGATAAATATTTTTATTTATTAATTATAATTGGACTGGAGCAATAGCACAGCCGTTAGGGCGTTTGCCTTGCATGTAGCCAACATGGCTGACCCGAGTTCGATTCCTCTGCCCCTCTCGGAGAGCCTGGCAAGCTACCGAGAGTATCTCACCTGCACAGCAAAGCCTGGCAAGCGACCCGTAACGTATTCGATATGCCAAACACAGTAACAAGTCTCACAATGTTACTGGGCCCGCTCGAGAAAATCGATAAACAACGGGAGGACAGTGACAGTGACAGTGATTAATTATAATTGGCAAGCTTTAATTTTCATAAGCTGATGGTAGATAAGGATAGAAATTTTGGGGAGGAGGGGAATTTGGGCCATACTTGGAGATGCTCAGGGGTTGCTTCTGACTCTGTACTCAGGAATTATTCCTGGCAGTGTCAGAGATCAAACGTAGTTCAGCCATGTGCAAGGTAAGCATCCTACCTGCTGTACTATCACTCCAGCCCCAAGGATATAACTATAATTATATAACATATTTATAAAATACATAAGCATTTTTGCAGTGCTGAGGATTGAGCGCTGGCCTTACATACACAAGGCAAATGCTCTATATCTGAGCTACATTCCTGGTCCTGGCAATAGATGTGATCTTAAAAGTGACTTGATAGCCTGCACCAAAAGCTTTAAAATGCTTTTAAATGTTATATAATTTAATTGTGGTAGTTACATAACTGATGAATTTTTAAAAATCAATTAATACAAAAATCATATACATACATTGGATAAATGCCACTGTGTGTTACTTATACCTCAATGAATTTGACTTTAAAATGGTTTCTTAGCAATTTCCATGCTAGGAATTTACCTTTTTAAAAAAATGGATAATTTGGCAGCAATTTTCTATAAGAGCATTTGTAAGAACCTTGTTTAAATTTGGAGAGAGTTGAAAACAACATAAATGGTCTACAGTAGGGGACTGATTTTAAAAAGGTTTGTGGAGGTACCTACTATTGTACATTCTGAAATGGCCACAGATTGGTATGGAACAAAAACATTTAATAGGCATGTACAAGTGAGGACAACAGCATGTATAAAAATAATATATGTGGACCAGAGGAATAGTGCAGAGGTTAAAGAACTTGCATTGCATGTGGTTGACTGTGATTTAATCCCTGGCACCTTTCCTGAACCCCTGAACACTGATAGGAGTGGTTCTTGAGCACAGAGTCAGGAGTAAGTTACAATCCCCCTGTCCCCAAATACATAAAAAAAAACATTTTAATGTTGTGTGTCTTAGCTCTTAGATAATCTTACATGTTTCACTTGCACGTGGCAGGGACCTTGGTGACAATGGGGAGCAAGTCTATGCCATTTGTTAAGGGTGGGCAGAATACTACACCCCCATCCCTAGTTCCACCCCAGCTTGCAACATATAAGCCTATGAAAACCAATGGACCGTTCTGGCATTTTGCTTATTATCTATTTGAACAGTATCTCCCAGGTAGTGATCAGGAGGGATCCCCTGCTTGATTCTCAGCTAACTTGCCAAGTGGTTCCATGTGAGGGGCCCGAGGATGCAGTCCTGTTCAGGTCCATGGTGCTGGGGGAATCATCTGAACTGCCCCTGACAGGGCTCAGAGGCCTCTATGGCCACTCCTGCAGGGCTTACGGGACCATGTGCTGCTGGGGTTAATTGTCTGCAAGACATATGCCTTAACCCCTGAGCTGTCTTTCTGCCCCCCATTTTGGCATGTTAAAAATGGTATTTGTGCTAGGTTCAGTGTTAGTTCCCACTCTTCCCCATTTGGAGTGTAGATGACTCCACCGTGACTCTCTGCCAACATCAAAGAGTGAGACTAGACAGACCCCAAAGACAGGGATTTTCCAGCCAGGGCCTTGGAGGTTCTTAACTCTGGGAGCCGCCCCAGCGCATTAGTGCTCTTACATTCTTAATGACTCCACTTATGGCCGGAAACCACTTGCTTGGCTCCTCTGTAGGACAAGGAGGTCTCTCTCATTTCTTGGTAATTACACAGCCTTTGGGCAGGTTTCATCCCAGGAAAAAAAAAATCTCATTAATTTGCCACCTCACAGAATTCTCACAAGGGCATCAATGCCACCGCTTTCTGATTTTTGACTTGGTGTACATTCTGATTTTTAATTATTTTTCTCTCCTTTTGTGAGCTGGAGTGACAGCACAGCAGGTGGGGCATTTGCCTTGCAAGCGGCCAACATGGCCAACCTGAGTTTGATTCCTCTGCCCCTCTCAGAGAGTCCGGCAAAGCTACTGAGAGTATCTTGCCCACATGGCAAAGTCTGGCAAGCTGCCCGTGACGTATTTGATATGTCAAACACAGCAACAAGTGTCACAATGGAGATGTCACTGGGCCTGCT